TCAAAGTTTTAATGGCCCTTTCATACTGATACATCCATCCATAATGCACAGGTCCACGAAGTCATGCCTCATATGGGAGGCGGACAACTAGATGTTCCATGACGTCAAAAAAGTAGGCGGAAATATTTTTTCCAAATTGCAGATTAAGACGGGGATGTTTTCATGAAGTTGTTGGACAACTTCCTCTTTAAGAGTGCGGGTGCTCAGATCCCTAAAAGATGCTCCAATTCCTTATATATTACAAAAACAAAAATTATCCACATTAGTATATATATATATATATATATATAAAGAAATAAATTAATCATATGATCGTATTATATTAATTATCTGAAAGTGCTTCATGTACTTTTGCCGGTAGTAGCTTTGCAAATGCAAAGAGAAGTAGTCGCTGCATAAAGACATGACAATCATGGCTCTTCATCCCGGAGAACTTTTGCCCTGTCTCAACACATCTTGAGAGATTTGAAACATTCCTATCATGAAACTTCACTTCTGAAGCCACCCAGTTGATCAACGCAGACTTTTTTTTTCTGATGAGAGTCTGAATATCGGAACTGGAACTTGCGCATTGCTTTTTATATGTAGCTCACTCCTTGAGCAGATATCGGGTAAGTCCAACCTCGATTTTACGTTGTCTTTCGTCTTCCCTGGGACATTCAATATAGTGTTCACGATGTTCTCAAAAAAGTTCTTCTCTATATGCATCACATTGAGGTTGTGGCGCAAAATAAGAACTTTCCAATATGGCAATTTCAAAAATATACTCTTTTTGTGTCAATTGTGCTGAACACCATAAGAATCAAGCATATTACTGGGAACATGCCAATTCCCACCACGACGAGCTGTTTCTAGAGCACCGTAGTAATCGATTTGCGCTTCGTTTTGTTCTCCAGTTAAATATGGAGGAGGAGTGTCTCTGACAACCCTTTTGTGCCTGAACAATTTCTTGTTTCTTCGGTATGGGTGGTAAACGGGAAGAAATCAACGGTGACAATCGAACCAACTAGTCTTCCTACCATGCTTCAACTGAAATGCATCTGTCATTCCCTTACAATATGGACAAGCTAATCTCTCATGTGTAGTCCACCCAGACAACATCCCATATGCAGGAAAGTCACTTATGGTCCATAAAAGAATCGCTCGCATCGTAAGTTTGTTTTCGTTGGACAATCATATGTCCTCACCCCTGTTGACCACAAATCTTTCAAATCTTTTATCAGTGGTTGTAGAAAAACGTCGAGAGATCTTTTTGGATGCTTTGGACCAGGTATTAGTATGGTCAAGAATAGAAACTCTCGTCGCATGCACATCTCCGGTGGTAGGTTGTACGGTGTAAGAAAGACCGGCCACAATGAATATTGTCTCCCAGACATTCCAAATGGACTAAATCCATCAGTGCATAATCCAAGATACACATTCCGGCTATTGCTAGCGAAATGTGGATGTACATTGTTAAAATGTTTACAGGCTCTTGCATCTGATGGATGAGTCATCTCTCCATCCGTCTGGGTATGCTCGGCGTGCCATCTCATCTCTCCAGCAGTCTCCTCAGATTGGTACAATCTTTTCAATATGTCTGTGATTGGTAGGTATCACATCCTTTGGTACGGTACCCTATTATGCACTCGACCTTGCGGTTTGAATCGTGGATTCTTACAAAATCGACATTCTTCTAACTTCTCATCATCTCCCCAGTAAATCATGTAGTTGTCGATGCAAACGTCTATCACCTCCGAGGGTAACCCAAGACTATATACCAATTTCTGAATCTGATAATAAGATTCAGCAGACATATTGTCTTCTGGCAAATACTCTTTAAACAAGTCTACCTATGCATCCATACAATTTTCAGGTAGATTGTGATCGATTTTAATACTCATCATTCTAGCAGCCAACGACAATTTAGACAGACCTTCTCTACAACCACTGTAAATTGGCTCATTCGCAGCTTCTAACATTTCATAAAACTTTTTTGCATCTAAGTTAGGTTCTTCAACTTCATCATCATCATGATTTACAAATGCATCACCTACCATATCATGAACCCTATCACAATCTACCATTTGTTCCTCCTGGTGATGATAGCTATTTTCATAACGCAAATGATCATCTGGTTCAACCTGAAAATTTCTATTACTACTGCTACCTTTATTCCTACAACTAGTATCTTCTCCATGTTGATACCAAATATAATAATATGGCATGAAACCTCTATTTATGAAATGCTTCCAAACATTTTCACGAGGGCCTAATTTTGTATTGCAGCATTTCCGACAAGGACAGAACATCTTACCACTTTCCTGCGTGAGTGGTGTAGAATCTGTTTGATGCATAAACGTCTCCAACCCTTCGAGAAATTCTTTCGTCACTCTCCCGTTATTATCTCTGTGTGAATACATCCACTTCCGCAACTCAAAAATATTTTCCGGACCGGACATTTTTTTGTCTTTGATCAAGCTTAAAGCTGAATTTTTTGGTGTGTTTGAAATGAATCACAAATGGTGGTACTTATAGAAATTTTCGAATCTGAACATTTACTAGGAAGCTGCTAGGAAAAGTAGGTACAAAACACGTTTTAGATTTAAATTAGACATTTTTGATCAAGTTCCTCGCTAATTTGAAGTAAAAGATCATTTCCTCCTAATTTCGTAGTAAAGATTTACTAGGAATTTACGAGGAAATTATTTACTACGAGCTTACGAGGAAATGGTCTTTTGCCACGTAGTTTCCTCGTAAGTTTACTACGGTCTTACGAGGAAAACGTTTTCTCGTAACTCTACGAGGACGTTACGAGGAAATTTATTTTCCTCGTAAAACCGAAGTAAGCTCGTAGTAAATTTACGAGGAATTATTTTGCTAGTAAAATTTCCTAGTAAACTCTTAGTTTTCTTGTAGTGTTACTAAACAAATACCAAACTGCATAACAATAGGTGTACAAATGGTTTTGGGTGTTATTCATTTCTAATGATTTCTACCTTTGATTTTAGTTCATTTAATTCTTTTTCCAATACATTTTATTAGCTTTGAAATTTTGGAGGTAAAAATGAAGCAATAAAAACAAGGATCATCCTGAAATTATGAAGTACTGAATGAGTAATCAAGGAGTTTGTTGGTTATTTTGTATACACTTTGGGACATGTACACGTGCACTTCGAAAATGGACGAATATGGTGTACATGAAAATAGGTGTACACATGGGTAATGCATTGTAAAACCTTTGTAATATAAAACCACAATTGATGTGCAACAAGCATATTTCGAACATATGTGTACATTAATAATTTATAATATTATACATAACCACAATTGTACACATGTACATAGCCACGAATGTACACATGTACACGACCACGATTGTACACATTTACACACATGTACGTAGTCATTGTACATGTGTACACTACCATTATGTACACATCCACGTGGTCTTCCAATTATTTTTTTTTAATGAATGGCAATTTTGTAATAAGTTCACCTTCTTCCTAGTAGGATTTTCTGCGTTTTCTGCAAATATAACAAACAGCCGCCATTGATTTTTATCATACAATCTTCATTGTTTTACGTTTTATCTCTAGAACTTACTAATATCTCTATATAGATTAACATATTATAATCCAAAATCAAGAAAGAACAGATTAAGAACTCACAAAGTAAACGCAGAAGCCTTCATTATAATTTTCTTTCGTCGGGAATCACCATCGTAGCCTTCTTCCACTTATATTTTTTACCCTAAAAACCCCAAAAAGTATAATAAAGAAAATTGGTTAATTTTCTTTCAGGCCAACCAAAACCACTTGAATTTCAAAAATAAAACAAAATAAACAAAAAATAATTCCTAACTAAATAAATATGTCTAGATACGCTTTTTGAAGGTCAAGTTGAGTCTTTTTACCAAATAACTGTCTTAGTAGCAGAAACTGACCCAATCTATAAAAAAAAACTCAAAACTGCCTTTGTATGAAAATAACTCTTTAGGAAATGAGCTTGATGTAGACATCATCTTAGTGCGTGAACTGTACTCAAAAGCAAAACAACCACTCTTTATAGTCTAGGCTCTTCTCTGTAAACTCTACAGTTCTTACATTACTCAATAACAAAAATATACAGTTCACAAAAGAACAAAACTTAGGTTCACCCCCTAGGGTGAATTTTTAAATTCACCTCACCTTTATTAACCATTCATTAAGCCACATAAATTAATGAATAAAAATTATTAAATATTTCTAAAAAACAAAAATAACTATAAAAAATAATAATAATGTCAATTTTAATGATGTTAGCTAAACCCTAAATCCAAACAATAACCCTAAACCAAAATCTAAACCCTAAACCCTATATCCTAAAACTTAAACTTAAACCCTAAACCCAAACCATATATCCTAAATCTATACCCTATACCCTAAAACCTAAACCCTAGACTCTAAATCCAAACCCTATATCTTAAATTCTAAACCCTAAACCCAAACCCTAGACCTTAAATTCTAAATCAGAATCTTGTACATGTTCCTTTAGAATTTAAGGTTATGATTTAAGGTTTGAATTTAGAATTTACGGTTTAGGTTCATGATTTATGATCTAGAGTGTGGATTTAGACTCTGGGTTTGAATTTAAGATCTAAAGTTTGGGTTTATGATCTAGGGTCTAAGGTTTAGGGTTTAGAATTTAGAGTCTAGGTTTTGGGTTTAGAGTATAGAGTTTGGGTTTAGGGTTTAGGGTTTAGGTTTTAGGGTATAGGGTGTAGATTTAGGGTATAAAGTTTAGATTTAGGGTATAAGTTTAGGTTTTAGGGTATAGGGTTTGGGTTTAGGGTATAGATTTTGGTTTAGGGTTATGGTTTGGATTTAGATTTTTTAATATTTTTTAAAATTGGTGTTATTATTATTTTTATAATTATTTTGTTTTTTTTTAATATTTATTTATTTTGATGCATTAATCTATATGGCATAATGAATGGTTATTAGAGGTGAGATGAATTTGAAGATTCACCTTAGGGGGTGATTCACCTAAGTTTTGTTCTTCACAAAAAGAGCCAAAACCCCATTAACAAATTATTTTTCCTTTTTACAACTTTCATTAACAAGTATTGGAAAACTACAACAAAATAAAGAAATCAAACTAACAAAACAAATGAACTACACAGTTTTCAGATGATCAGATCTTTACAACATGCTGGACATTCACTTGAAAGATAAAGAAGTACAATAAAGTATTCAGAAAAGACCCAAACATACATTTGACATGAGGGATTAAACTTCAACATTGTTCTCTCTTCGGTCAAGTTCCATTATCTCCTTCTTGTTTTTCTTGTGCATTGAGTAGAAGTATGATCCTAAAGCCAAAGTTGTTCCTATCAAAGCACCTATTCTAGGCCAACTAAAATCATCATCCATAAAATCAAATGCCGACACAACAATCAAAGCCACAAGTGGGGAAGTACACATATGTACAACATCACCAAACACACCCGAAACATACAGCACCAAACCTATCAACCCGACCGCCCAAACCTGCCACGACAAAGCCAACCCAACCAAGCTCAAAACATAATATGTTTCACCTTTCTTAAACCTTCTGCTATCGCCCTTCAGTTCCTTATATTCGCCACTCGCAATCAAACCAACAAAACAAACAACTGAGGCGACAAAAGAAACGCATATCTGCATCTCTAAGACCATTCTAAATACTTTCTTGTTACCATACCTCTTTGTATTCACCAGAAGCTTCTCAAACCCGAGTTGGAAGAAGCAGAGAGATAGTGCGAAAGCAACCGAACCAGAGAAAGTTAACCAAGCATGGATGTTATAAAATTCTTCATTTTCATCAGGCGCTCCTGAAAATTCAGGAGTACCTAAAACGTATATCACAATAGTGAGGATTATCGATATGATGATCCATCTGTTAAACTTGAAACGGTTAATGATGGCTGTGAAAACTGCTAGAAATATCAACTGTGTCGCGGAAATCAACGTGAATATGCCATAGTTTGCGTATAACTTCCCAAGAGCAAATAACTTGCTATGGGCAGCAACAAGAACACCAAGAGACAAGTAAAGAAAGAGAAGACGAAAAGAGAGGAAACGAGTATTGTTGGTTTCAGGGTATTGTTTTGGGGAACGGAAAATGAAGAAGAGAGGGATAAGGATTGGAAACGCGGCGTTTTGAATCAGAGCTTGTGTCCATGTTCCTGTGTACTGTAGATCTTGATCACTATCTTCTCGATTGTCTTGGACATAGAAGAAGTTTAAGAGAAGCATGACCAGAGAGTCTCCAAGCACGACCAAGAAAAGACACAACAAAACAGAGGCCCACCATTTTCTTTGATCTACAATTAACGATCTTCGTGGGCTCAAGATCTGGTCTGGTTCTGGATTCTGAAGGTGTTCTGATTCTTCTGTTGATTCAAGAAAATTTAAAATCCTTAGTTCTTTATTTTTTGAGAACAGAAACAATTTGGATAAGAATAATTAAGACAGTGAAAGTACCATGTCTTGTAGCCTGTTTTGAAGCTTCTGACATCTGCAACAATTTCATTTCTTCAGGTCTCAAGCTCTAAAGAGTTTTAAAATATGCAAGTACGTTTTCATTCTCTTGGATATCTTATATAGCAATTTCAAATTGTTTTTGAACAATATATTTTCTAGTTTAATTACTTTGATTTTATGAGAATGGTTGAAGAGAAGTACGCGTAAACAATGACTAGTTCCATCTTGGCGGTGATATAACTACTTTTAATAATTACAAAATATCTTTGATACATACATCATATAATCCTTTGACAGAGAAGGTTGGTACTTTGAAAATACCTTTACTATTATTCGAAATTATATGACCTGGTATAAAATATAATTCTGATTTAAACATTATATCCCTTAGTAGGGCTGGCACTTTTCTTATATCTGAATCCATATCTAAACCCGATCCAAACAACCGAAACCAAAATTCAAATCGAAATAGCAAATATTCGAATGAATATTGAATTAAAAAATATTGGATATCCAAACTAGAATGGATAATATTCGTACTCAAATAGATACCTAAAAATAACCACACACACACACATATATATATAATCAACCATATATTATATATATATAATTAACCATATATTTTTAGTTTAGGTCTTTCATTTTTTTAAAAATATTTATATTGATGTTACACATAACTTAACATATATATCATTTCGGACAATTTGATTTACTATTCACTTAAAGTGCATATCAAATTGTTTTGCCGTGCATTAATGAAAGTTGCATCTAGAATTTCAAAAGAAAAAACCAACTTAGTGTTTTATTTAAAAAAAATTTAAACCTATTAATTGTCCTATCAAAAAATTCAGTTAAATTAAAGATATATTTTTAAATACAAGAAATTTAATATATGAATTATTTGATTGGAAAAAAAAACTTAAATATGTGAACCCGATCCGAAATAACCAAATCCAAATTAAAAATATCCGAACCTAATCCGAATTATAGAAATATAAGAATGGGTACTAAACCCCTATACCAAAATATCTAAAAATCTGAAATATCTAATCCAAATCCAAATAGGTATTCAAACGTACACCCCTAATTGGATGACATAATTTCCTCTAATAAGTTAAGAGTAAATATATATTTTTTTTGCGGAGTTACTCTATTTTTATTCAATCAAAATAAGTTTGTAGTCATTCCACTTACGGAGAAGAGTAAATGCCTTCTTCGGAAACTTGCTATGCGTACGGTACACAAGCCAACGATTAATTAGAAAAAACAGAAAAATTTGAGAAATATACATGGATGTTATGAATCAAATGGTGGATTGTCATAACCGGCCCGTCCTTTTAGACCTAGACGGCTGGTCTTTCCTTTTTCCATTAGGCGGCTAGTTTACCTTTTCCTTATTGGATTAAGATTTGGTGTTTTCCTATTCCATGTTGGATTACGATTTGTACTATTTCCTTTTCCTAGTTGATTTAGGTTTTTCCTTTTCTAGGATCTTGTAACCCTATATAAGGGCACCTTATGTTTATGAATAATATACACACAACCATTGCTTCATTCTTTCACAACACGTTATCAGCACTATAAGTCCCTAAACCCATGAGCAAAAATTCCGACCAGAAACCCTAATCTCTCTTGCGAACCCTTGACGGCGTGAACCTCTTTACGGCAAGCACCACCGCGAAACCCTAACCATAATTCTTGTTCAGCTGCGATCCCAGCATAATCAATCCTGATCGTGAACCATCATCCGCGTTCAAGGAGTTCCCGATCTCAGCAACTCCACCCGATTGCAGCAAGCTCAAATTCGCGACCCAATACTCAACAAGCTCCATCCGCGATCCGATACTCAGCACGCACCAGTTCCAATTTGCGATCCAAGGAGTTCCAGCTTGCGATCCTTCTCTCTTGTTCGGTCCATTTATCCCAACTGGTGATTAAGGTAATTCTGAAACCCTAATTTAAAGAATCCAAACCCTAGAATCGAAACCCTAAGAACCGAACCAATAGAACCCGGATGTTAAGATTGTTAAATTCATTGATTGATTGATCTGTTTGAATGTCTTGGGATAGAAACCACATGCTAGGTTGATTGTTCTCACATGTTTTTGAATTGATAAATCCGACTAGCATGTTTAAGTTAAAACCCTAATTGTTTGTATGATCCGATTGTTTTGATTGAGGCTCCGTGATTCATGCTTGCTTGATTGTTTTGATTGAGGTTTACACAAACACTTAGAACCCGGATTCTAGGATTGCACCATACCCGACCAAATTGTTTAAAACCCTAATATGACCAGATTGTTTATGCTTATCTGATTATTTGCATCACATCCTTATGAACATAATAGTAATTGCTTATTAGGAATATCTTGTTTGGTCGATTTGATTAATGAACATGTGTTAAAATTCAAGTATAAGATATAAAATTTCAGATGTCAAAAATCAACAACTTGGATTTTGCTGCCCTAAATCTCTCGGGAGATAATTATTTGCAATGGGCCTTGGATGCTAAGATCATTCTGAAATCAAAGGGACTCTGTGAATGTATCACCAAGGACAATAATGCAAGTGAGAAAAACAGATATAGGGATATCTTGATTATTCGACATCATCTTACTGAGAGTCTCAAAGATCAGTATTTGACAATTGAGAATCCTCTAGACCTTTGGACAGAAATAAAACGAGATATGATCACCAAAGAACGGTGATATTACGAAAGGCTCTATATGATTGGAGAAATCTCAGAATCCAGGACTTCAAGTCCATGGATGAGTATTACTCAGCCCTATTTAAGATCGTTTCTAAATTAAAACTATGTGGTGAGGATATAACGGATAAAATATGCTAGAAAAGACCTTTTCCACCTTCCACACAAGCAATGTGTTGTTACAACAACAGTACCATGAAAAGAGATTCACAACATATGCAAATCTGATCTCATGTCAATTGCTCGCTGAGTAAAACAATGAATTACTAATGAGAAACAGTGAATCGATACTTCCTGGATCAACTGCACTACCTGAGACAAATAAGGCTATAGAGAAAAACAAAGAGGCTAATCACGTCCATAGCAATAGCCAACACGGCTGTGGCCATGGAAAATGGCAAGAATGAAGTCGAGGTAACTACAATGGCCAAGTGAACCATTATGGGAACCGAGGCCGCGGGTACCAACCCAATTTTAGCCTTAGGTAGTGGTCGAGGTCAAGGCCATGGTATCTCCTTTAAACCACAACACTCGACCAACTCGACCAAATCAGTATACCATAGGTGTGGAATGAGTAATCATTGGGTTAAAACATGTAGGAATCCCAAACATCTCATTGAACTCTATCAAGAGAGTTTGAAAGGGAAGAACTCTGAGGCCCACTTGATATATCAAGATGGTGAAGATGATGTTGATCATGGGCGAGATGATCATATGGAGTATGAAACTTCAGATTGCTTAAAAGAATCAAGTTGATTTCGGCATCAAAACTTCTGTTTTTTCTTTGCTTTATGTTTTCTTTGTTTCCATGTTTCTTTGAACTCGTTTTATTTCTTTACTTAATGAATGAATGAATTCTATGATTGTTGTTTTGAAGAATGAAAGATGACATGGATATATTCGTGGTAGACTGTGGATCAAGCCACACGATCTTAAGAGACAAAAGATACTTTATGAATCTAACACTTAAAAGCGCCAACATAAGTACCATTGTGGGTATGACCAATCTAATAGAAGGCCACATACAGGCTTATATATCATTGCCTAAGGGTACGCATCTAGAAATATCTGATTCATTATATTCACCCAGATCAAAGAGAAGCCTATTGAGTTTTAAAGATATCCGTATGAATGGCTTCCATATTGAAACTAAGGACGAAGGAACCAAAGAGTTCCTGCAGATTCGTGAAATCGTCCAAGGCCATAAGAAAGTCTTAGACACCATACCCAAAACTGGAACTGGCCTTTACTATGCCAAGGTCAGTATGATAGAGGGTAATGCCACGGTAAACAAAGTCTTTACCGAGAACTTCACTCTTTGGCATGACCGGTTGGGCCATCCCGGTTCGACAATGATGCGAAAATTGATATCTAATACAAATGGGCACACATTGAAAGAAAGAAGAGTTATCACTAAGCACCTCACGTGTGTAGCATGTTCACAAGGGAAACTCATTGTTAGGCCATTATCAATTAAAGTGACTAAGGAAACAATAAACTTTCTGGAAAGAATACAAAGTCACATCTTTGGACCAATACACCCACCATGTGGGATGTTTAGATACTTTATGGTCATTATTGATGCATCCATAAGGTGGTCTCATGTATGTCTATTGTCAACTCGCAATTTGGCGTTTGCGAGATTACTTGCTCAGATAATTTGTTTAGGAGCTCATTTTCCAGATTTTCCTTTAAAGACTATGCCTCTTGATAATGTTGGTGAATTCACGTCCCAAGCGTTTAATGATTATAGTATGTCCATGGGGGTAAGTGTAGAACATTCTGCACATGTACATATACAAAACGGCTTGGCCGAATCCTTCATTAAAAGCATACAGTTAATTGCTAGACCATTACTTATGGGATCAAAACTCCAAGTCTCAGTTCGGGGACATGCAGTTTTATATGCAGCCGAACTAATTCGCATCAGGCCATCTAATGAGCATAGATATTCCCCGTCCCAATTGCTATCGGGTCACGAGCCAGACATATCCCATCTTAAAACATTTGGTTGAGCCACCTAAGTACCAATAGCTCCACCACAAAGAACTAAGATGGGACCTCAGAGGAGGATGGAGATATATGTTGGATATGAAATATCCTTTAAAAAAATTATCTTTTGTTCACCTCTCAGGATAAATTTACAGGTTTACCACTAAAATGATAAGCAATAAAAATTTGTTAAGTTATATTTTGCTTATAAAAAATGAAAAATAATTAGAAAATAATATTAATTGTCAAAAAAAATAATGTTGATTAGACAAATTAAACCATAGATCCTAAAGGGTGAAACCTAAGCCATAAACCTAAAGGAATGAACCCTAAATCCTAAATATTAGGAGGTAAACCCTAAATCCTATGGTGAACCCTAAACTTTAAGAGTGAAATCTAAACTCTAAATCCTAAGAGGTGAGGTGAACCATAGAATTTAGCTGATG